GCTGCTTCCTGGCGACACCGAATGGGTGTAGATGTGTGTGTTCACACATGAAGCAGGTGAGGGTCGTTAATAAACACTCACGTGTGTTTACAGAGATCGACGGGGTATCGGGACTCAGCTTTTGCTCAGCTACTCGCCCAGAGCAGCCTCAGAGGCACCAAAATCTTGGTAGCTGGTTATTGGCTGACTTTGAAAGAGGCAAGGGCTTAAGCATGTCTGGCTTTGCCAAATTAAATTATCAACAGGCCCTGGGGCTTGGATACAATCATGAGCCAGACACACACAACAGATTCAGGCGGGAAAAAAGGATTTTCCAGAAATACATAAATGCGCAATTTACTTTAGTAATTTTATTGAAAAAACTGAAAACAAGCCTCAAACCTCTTCTATTTGAACATTAACGAGAGGTAAGTACAACCATGGTTCCCTTTGCTCTCTGTGAATTGGAATAACAACGCTTCAAGGAAAATCCATAAAAGACCAATAAGCAGGCTGAATATTGTTCTCACCACTCTAATTTCATAAAGGAAGAATTTCCTTCACAGCGAATTGATAGATGTGATTTTGCTGTATTTTTGAACAAAGCGCATGCAGGATGGTTTCTGTTCCTTGAAATGAGGTCCCATTGGGTCCTGTTGCACATATGTGTGCTTGGAGAACCATCTCTTGCTGCAGGCAGGTCCCAGTGGCCCTGCTGCATTTCTCCCCTGGGGTCACCCTTCCTCCAGCCCGCTGTCTGTCTTTTTTGAGATTCAGCTCAGCTGCCTCCGGCTGCAAAGTCTCCCCGGCATGGCTCCTCCCCCGGAGGGCTGACCACTCCCCCAGGAGCCCTCCACCCCATGCAGACCCTTGGTCCTGGCACCCAAAGGCCTTACTTATGTGGCTCTCACCCTGGGCTTTGAGCCCTTAGTCTTAGTTACCTTTGTGTCTCTACTGCAGAGCACCAAAGAGGTCAGCAAATGAGTGGTCGCTCCGGCCTGCAGTCTGGGAGTCATCCCGATCCTTTTCTCCCAGCCCACAGCTCACTTTGCACACGGGCAGTGTTGGTGAGGCTGGAGTCCCCCCACTTCGCCCTCTGAGCACGGCCATCTCTAGTCTCCATCTCTCTTACTCTGAAGGAAAACTCCTTCAACAGGCTTACATAACCCAATTCGGATGGTTTGCAGTCTTGGTACACAGTGGCGTAGTCTGGAGATTCTGGTTCACGTTTCCAGTGCCTGCATCGCGGTCAACGTCCCCAGGTGGTTGTCAAGCATACCTGGGTGGAGAATGTTGCTGTCTTTGATCTTGTGTCACCTGCTGGCCTGACTTTGCCTCGAGCCTCATTCCTTCGCTCCCTCACTCTGTATCCAGTGTGGCCCTCATTGTTTCCCCCTACCCACCCCCCCAGCTCCAGTTCCTCCCACGGCTGGTCCCTTGGTCATTTGGGTTGTGCTTTAAATACCTCCTCCTGGATTGAGCCCCACATCGGGCTCCCTGCTTAGTGGGAAGCCTGCTTCTCCCTCTCCCACGCCCCATGCTTGTGTTCCCTCTCTCGCTGTGTCTCGCTCTGTTAAAGAATGGGGTATCGGAACTCGATACCCCATGCTCTGTTAAAGAAAGAAAGAAAATCTTTAAAAATAAATAAATAAATACCTCCTCCCCTGAAGGGCCCTCCTGACCACCCCAGTCCCCCTTTACTACGTGGGCCTGTTTCGATTCCTTCAAAGCACTTGCCTGATATGTTGTAGCCAGTTTGTTAATTATCTGATCCCCCCTCCCCCCAACAAACAAAGTTCACGGTGGTAGGGTCTTACCTATTTTTTTTTCTTCTTTGTTAATTATCTGATCCCCCAACAAATGAAGTTCACGGTGGCAGGATCTTACCTATTTTTTTTTTCTTCTGAGCATCCCCTGGTGATACAGGAGTTGCTCATTAGATGTAGGAGGAAGGATTATAAAATAAGTAAATTTGGGGTTGGTCTCCTGGAAAGTGGACTAGCGCTCACCAGGGTGCCCAAAATATGGATTCTGCAGTACGAGTGGGTGTCCATGTTCTGAGGGGAAGAGAATGTGAGGACAGGGCTGGGCTATCTCAGCTTGACACCCAGCTCTGCCACTCACTCGTTCACTTCATGAGTCTGAACAGGAAACAGCCCTTTGTTTTTTTTGTTTTTTTGTTTTAAGATTTTATTTATTTATCAAAGAGAGAGAGAGCACAAGTGGGGGGAGCGGCAGGCAGAGGGAGAAGCAGGCTCCCTCCTGAGTAGGGAGCCCGACGTGGGACTTGATCTCAGGACCCTGAGATCATGACCTGAGCCGAAGGCAGAGGCTTAACCAACTGAGCCACCCAGGTGTCCCAGGAAACAGCCCTTTGAACTCAGGGTTCCCCAATCCTAAAATAATAAAAAATCGTTTGCATGTCACAGGGTTGGTATGAAGATCACGTAGGGAAGCATCCAATAAACGCTAGGAGTATTGTTATAAATAGTAACGCAGACCCCTCAAGTCTGACACGCCGTTCCCTTCCCCGTCCCATGCCATTCTCTCCTCCAAATGCCAGAGAGGGTTCCATTTGCTCCGGGGAGGTTGGGAGCCTCCCTCCAGGAGGGTAGAACCGCTGCTTCTCTCCTTCCTCCTCACCAGAAAGGTCTCACTACTCATCAGACGGGTTTGGTGGTGTTACAAAAACTCAAGAGTCAGCAACCAAGGAGCACCAGCTGGGGTGAGGCTGGCCGTCTTGGATGCAGACCTGCTTGTTTGGCACCTAATATGGGCGTCTCTGCCCCGAATTTAAATTTCTGCTGAAGCACAGCAGGCCACGAAGAGTTCAGAAAACAAAACAGTGGAGGTGCCAAAGAGCTCACATTTGCTTTTGTTTTCTCTTGGAAATAAAACCAAAGCTTCATTGTGGTATCAGGTGTTCTAAAGAAACAAACTTAAAAAAAAAAAAATCTAATTTCCCAAAGTAGACCACATACAATTGGATTAAGATACAAACTATGTTTGTAACATTTTTATTCCTTTAGAGCACCATTATCTGTCTGGGTTGGCTGCACCCTAATCTTGAGTAGCTCCTGAAGAATGCTAATCCGGGCTTGGGTCTAATTTTTTTGGAGAGGTTCCTTCTCCTTGCCTGAGTAGGAGTCTTCAAGCAGTCACAGAACTACTTTCCCAAGACCTGGCTGCCTTAAGGTGGCACCCCATTTCTCTGGGAAAGTCATCAGGATCTTTCTTTCTTTCTTTCTTTTCTTTCTTTTCTTTCTTTTCTTTCTTTTCTTTCTTTTCTTTCTTTCTTCTTTCTTTCTTGATTTTATTTATTTATGAGAGACAGAGAGACAGAGATGGGGAGGAGAGGGAGAAGTAGGCTCCCCGCTGAGCAGGGAGCCCTCAAGTGGGGCTCAATCCCAGGACCCTGGGATCATGACCTGAACTGAAGGCAGACGCTTAACCGACTGAGCCACCCAGGCGCCCCCATCAAGGCTCTCCACTCCGGGCTGGTCCTAGCAGGAGTGAAAACCAAGAGTGTGCACTGGGAGGCATCTTGGAAATCTTCACGGTGGTGTTGACTGCTCCTTTCTCTCATGCCTTTCCAAACGCGAAGGACATTTTCCTTTAGCTGGGAAAATTCTATTGATTTTTTTTTGTTCCTGTCTCCTACTTCTCCTTTGAACCTTGTCTTTGAAGTTAAGTAATGGTGCCATTTTTTTCTTTTATGTTAAATAACTAGACAGAATACAAGCTCAGCCACTGTATTGTTTCCAGTTTGTAAATCCATAGCTGTGTTTTGTTTCTCCAGTGGGGAGAAATTTGTTAGTTTCCCTGTCTCTACCCCACCTTCGTGTATATTCATGGATAATTCTGCAAGCCCGAAAGTCTTGTGTGGCTCCACTGGAGTGCTGAATGAGGGGACAGGCTGATGTGGAGAGATTAATGGAAATACATGGGGTCTTCACTGGGGATCACAGGGAGCCCATGTCAACTCTGTGATGCTTAGCTAGGATGCTGAGTTGTCTATTTGCTTATGCTCAGTGGTGGAGGTGAACTGGTCACCTACAGGTGTTCCAGAAAGTGTGGCAGCTTCTCAGATGCACTCCATGCAACACATACCCCAAGAGCATTTTTGTGTGACAGGCTCTTGGCCAGTCTATAGGGCTGAGAGCCTTGTGGGAATTTGAGTTATTACAAAAGGGTATGCACACTATTTTTAAAAAATACATACTATTTCTAAGTGTGCCATCTATAAACATCACTGTGATTAGTAATATGTACTCACGTTGGAAAACATTCCGGACTCATAGTGATTTTCAGCCGCGTGTACTTTCTCAAGGTACACTAGACAGACATTTTTCCTATGTTGCTGTCCATTGCATTTTCTGACTGGGAAAGAGCTAGTCCTCTGTGAGAATGGATGCAGAGGTTGAGTGTCCCTGATGGAGGGTCCCGGTTGTGAGTGTCCACTTCTGCTCTCAAAATGCTCTGGGGATAGCTGGGAGATTTCCTTGTCCTCAGAGGCACCAGGAACCTAGTGTGGAGATCTTCCACCTGACCCCCAGAGCCCTGCACCCAGGGTGACCCTGAAACACAGTTTAGTGAGGTCTGAAAGCCAGGGTCAGAGCCCCCACCCAGGACTCAGAGTGAAAACCCAAGTACGGACTCCATCCAGGGGATGCACCGTAACCTAGCTCCTGCATCCTCCCTGCAGAGCACACTGTAATAGTTACTACCTGAAGCACGCAGAAGGGTCACTGTCTGCAAAGTATTTTAGATGCCAGCCTTGTACTTCATGCCTGTATTTATTGTCAAGACCAATCTGTTGGTTGTCAATTTCAATATAAGCGTTTCTGGTGTAGGAGTGTCTACCGAGTCCTGCAGTATCTGTAGCAGGTTGGGGCTTACACTATTGATCCTATTGACTAAGGATCAATAACAAAGTGTGTACTAAGTCCACCACAGTGTTTCTCTAGAAATGTGCGATATCCATACTTTCTGAAATTAATCCTCTTTCTATTTCATTCCAGATAACTTGTTCAAACCCAAAGAAAGATACATTTCAGAGAAGGAGATGCACATGCGATCTAAAAGGTATTTGGTTATTGTGTGAGGTCGAAAAATGTGGGGAGAGGTAGGGGAGGGGTGGCTTCTGCATCCAGGCGCTGTCCAGAGGGGTCACTATTCCCAGGTCCACCTTTAATGTCTGAGGTCTTCTTGGCCGTGAATTTGAAATGCTGGCTAAAAGAAGTGTAGCTGTCCAATTGCACCTCTGAATGTTAATGCCGTTCTTGGAAAAGCCTTAGGAAAGTGGCGGGTCTTGGATTCTGAACCGACCTAGTAATTGGTCTCTAAGAGATCCCCAGACTCATAATGGGAATGCTTCTGCACACTCTCGTCGTCTCTGTGGGCAGGTGCTGTTTGTCACTGGGCACCTTTGAAGGTGATTTTATGAGGAGGAGAGAGGTGGTTTCTCCTGAGGGCCTTGCCAGTGGCAAAGCCTGCAGGGAGGAGTCCAAACTTGGGAGCCCATGGCATGTGGGAGCCAGCAAAGCCACAGAGGGCCACACGCTGGCCTTCCTGACGCTCCGTCCCCGGCCGGCTTGGCGGCTCTGCTTCCCGCAAACTCTCCCTGTTCTGCTTGGCTGGTTGCTATTCTAGACTCCTACTAATTCTCACCCACCGGATCACACAAAGGCGGTCATTCTTTCTGAGCCCTGGCCTCCTAACCAGAAGGTAATACCTCAGCAATGTTGGCCAAGTTCATGCAAGAAAATGTCATGAGTTTATAATAAAGTATCTAGCACTGGGAGGAACTATAATAATTAAACCCAATTGATAGTGTGCTTAGAGAAACTACTGAAATGGGAGGAATATGTTTCTCCACAGTCCAGGCACAAAATCTCTGCTTTTAGGATCGTTTCCATGATAATTGGCTAACATTGATCATCTGCAAGGAGCCTCTTTATTTATTTTTTATTTTTTTAATTTTTTTTTAAGATTTTATTAATTTATTTGACAGAGAGAGACACAGCAAGAGAGGGAACACAAGCAGGGGGAGTGGGAGAGGGAGAAGCAGGCTTCCCGCTGATCAGGGAGCCCGATGCGGGGCTCGATCCCAGGACCCTGGGATCATGACCTGAGCCGAAGGCAGATGCTTAGCGACTGAGCCACCCAGGGGCCCCAAGGAGCCTCTTTATAAGTCAAAGAGGGGAAATGAGAAGGGGAGCATCCCATTAGCGACCTGATTCATGGCCTTCTAACTGAGGGTTCTGAGGGTCCACTGGGTTTTCAGACTTGCTGTTTGAGACTTGCAGAGTTGTGTGTACCTCATGCCAGAAGTATTCCTTTTTCAATTTACTGAAAAATTTCAGCCAAATCTTCCCCTCCCAGTCCCCAAACCCAAAGCTGTTATTACAGAGACTCGCAGTTAAAATACTAGATCTCAACGCAGCATTCAGGGTCGACAGGATGGCTGACCCCGCAGCTTTCCAAAAGAGGAAATGGAGGCTCAGGGAGGATGCAGGAGCTAGGTTACGGTGCATCCCCTGGATGGAGTCCGTACTTGGGTTTTCACTCTGAGTCCTGGGTGGGGGCTCTGACCCTGGCTTTCAGACCTCACTCATCCACAATCACTCTGGAGCTTTCTTTTCTTCTGTATTCTTTGTTATTAGTTGTATTGTTAAATCACATTTTCATTTTAGAAACTCAAACAGTAGAGATAAAGCTGAAGTCCCTCCTGGCTGTCTTCTCTCCCACCACATTTCCCTGGGCCCAGTCCTTTCTCCAGAGACCCACAGTTATCAGCCTTCTGTGTATCCTTCCCGGCCTTTCTCTCTGCCTGAAAAATAGACTTTTATTTGTACATCAACAGTTATCTAATTTTTATTCATAAATGGGATCATACTATATGTATTATTTTTCCGTAGCTTACTTTTTTTGCTTTATAATATGTCTGTGAGGTCTTTCTGTGGCGAAAGATACAGATACAGATTTTCCTCATTGCCTTTAACTCTCTGCTGTGTGGTGCCTTATATGGGTGTACCATAATTTATTTAGGAAGCCCTTTTAACAAAATACTGCATCAGAAGCTCCAGGAGTGAGACCTAAGCATTTGTATCTGAAACTGCCCACATGATTCATATGGTCAGTATCAGGAAGATGGTCTCTATGCATCTGAAGGGATTTCCACTGTGAAGCTTTGGGACATTCAGCTTTCCTACTGATTCCTTATGGTCCTCTCCCGGGCCCTTTCTTGAATAGTTCCTGGATATGGCAACTCTGTGTTCATTGATTCATTCAAACCATATCAATGGAACAAGCATTTCGCAGACACTTTATACTATGTGGTTGGGGGACAGTGTTACATAGAGTGAGAGTCCAAGGTTCGAATCCCAGCCCACCATTAGCCAGCTGAGGGACTTTACAAGAGTCTCCTGACCTCACTGGGGCTTGCGTTCCTCAGTCGTATTGCGGAGGACATTACATGCTTCTTTCAACTGCTGTGAGGATTGAGAACATTTATGCCAGGTGATTAGCCTCGAGCTCAATAACCAAGATAATGTCACCTGCTAATATTGTCCTCATTTATATTTTTATACTTTGTTAATTATTATTATTATTATTTTTTAAAGATTTATTTATTTATTTGAGAGAGAGAGAATGAGAGACAGCATGAGAGGGAGGAGGGTCAGAGAGAGGAGCAGACTCCCTGCCGAGCAGGGAGCCCGATGCGGGACTCGATCCCGGGACTCCAGGATCATGACCTGAGCCGAAGGCAGTCGCTTCACCAACTGAGCCACCCAAGCGCCCCGTTAATTATTATTTTAAAGGTAGAATCTATAAACAGATTTTGTCTGACTTTCAGACATGAGAGAAAATGAAAAAAAAAGGTGTTTGTCCATGTGCCATAAATAGGGCAACCCCAAAGCTCAGGCTGCAGTCCCTCCATCGTGTCTATGGATTCTTGCAGAAATATCATTTGGCATCCGGACACAGTTTCTATTAAGAGGTAGGAAAGAAGGGTCCAGAAGAAGGTCTCTTGGTCCCTGCTTGTAACTTGGAAACTCCTACTAATTTTACACCAGGACAAGAACACAATACTTATGCCTGAGATGTATCTGGAAGCAGTTTACTTAGGAAGGCAACAGGTTAAGAGGTAAACACACATTTACGTGTGTGTTATTCCAGTATAGTTCCTGCTACTTCCATTTATTTGCTGCTCCTTTTCTAAGTCATAGGAAGGCTTAAAAAAACATGTAGCAAAAAGGTATCTATCGGGGGCAAGTTTACACAGAGTGGGAAAGCAGTCGGTTTGGAATCTCCCACTTGATGCACGCAAGTCATTAATTATCTCCGAGAGTGGAGGGGCAGAGAAGTGCCTGCCCAGTAGACAACTGGCCTCTGAGCTTCGTCCCGGGGCGGTGGGGCGGGGGCGGGGGGAACTCTGCCTGTTGGCGCCGTCCCTGCCTCGGCGGCCTGTTCTGGAGACTGTCAGGGCAGCCCTGGGTCTTGGCGTCTCGCTGATCTGGGATGGCCCGTCTGCAGCTGGTCTTGTCTTTGAAATGGAAGAGCCTGCTGACAAGACAGGACACAGATCCACCCCAGGCACATGGTGTCTCGCTACCATTCAGCGTGTTTTCTGAATCTGTTTCAGAATCTATAATAACTTGCCGGAAGTGAAAAAGAAAAAAGAAGAACAAAAGAAAAGAGTGATCTTACAGAGTAACAGACTGCGTGCTGAAGTCTTCAAAAAGGTAACGGCCTGGCCGCCAGCAGGTGTGTGTGGCATGCAGATGCTGAACCTGACCTTGACGTGTTTGTCTCCTGCTTCCCTAGCAATTACTGGACCAGCTCCTTCAAAGGAACGCGGTCTAACCGTAGGCTGCCCTGCTGACCCACTCCCTGGACCTGGGATGACTTCAAACGCTGGATCAACCATTAAACTTAGCATTATCTTCATGATATGAAACACTTACTTTACTTTTGATTTTTTTTTCATAAAGGAAAACATAGCTTCCTGAATTGCTTGCCCAAACCACACAGAAACAGTAACCCTTGAGGAAATGGGCCAGCAGACCGTGGAGGGGTGACCGACGCGATATAAACCACTAGATACAGTCCCCTCAGTTCTCCACTTTGGAATTTACCGTTTGCTTCTGATCCCCCCACCCACCCACCCACTGCGCCACCATTTCCACCGAGACAGAGAAAGGCCTTATACGTTCACATGGGCCTAGATCCTAGGGGGTTATTTTTCTTCATCAAATTTTTGGGACCCACATCTATCAGTTTTTAAGTATCAGTCCCAACTTCTGCCGGTAGTCCACACTTTGGGTCAGCGCCCAGTATGTTTAAATACTCTCTGGATGTGTTGGCCATGTAATGCTGGAAGCTGACCTTGGAAGTAAGCGGGTGCTCTGAACAAGGGAGCGTGCAGTCTGTGTGTCCGCGACCCAGGGTGGGCAGAGCCGTCCTCACGACCACACCCCACACCGAGTGCTTCTCTTCATTTAGAAAAAGAGTCCATTTCCACAGAAGCTATGAGAGCGGAATTGGTGGGGGAAAAAATTACAGGTGACTTCAGTGTTTTCTGCACAGCCCCCTCCTCCCAGGACCAAAGCTGTGTTGCTGAAAATGGCCCGGTGGCTCCCACTCTGCCATTTGCTCTTCCAACGCTGATGATGTTCATGATTTACCAGTGTGTGTTTGGGGAGTTAAGAACTAACTAGTTTTTATCAAAAATGGAAATAAATGCAATTATTACAAAAATGGAAGTATCGCTCCGCTCTATATTCCGCGTTATGAACTGAGCAGCTGCTGTGGATGACGTTCGGTGAGAACGCTGTCGTGGCCCGGCGGGGGCCTCTGACCCCTCTTCTGCCACCTTCTCACCACCAGGACACCCGGGTCAGGAGCCCCGGAAAGCAGGCATGAGAGAAGCAAGGAAACTGAAGAGCAAGGTTTAGGATCCTGAAGGCCTCGCATCTCACTAGGAATTGCCCCAGAATGAGGAGGAGGTTTGGGGGATTAAGCAGGAGCCCTGTTGACACCTCTGTCCCCATCCCGAGGCTGTCACTCACCTTCCCTCCTCCCAGTGCTGCATATGCCATCCCTTTTCTGGAATGCCTTTCACTTTCTTGTCTATCAAAAAACTGTTTAAAAACTCAGCCTTGGGGTTCTCTCCTGACACCTTGCCCACTGCCCTGCCCTCCAGGATGAATTGGTGCTTTGCCCTTTGGGCACATGGTATCAGGCCCTGCCAGCAGGAGATGATGAACAACATGGTCCGGACTAGACTCCAGATTCAAGTCTTGGCTGCATTGCTCCCCAGTCTCTTGCCCTCGGGCTAGGGGATCGGTCTGGATCCAATCAGGAGAGAGAAACAGCACAGTAACTTGGCTGGGAAAAGTGTAATGTATATAATTACTTACCATAAAGGGAGTGCAGGAACGAGGGATTGGCTAGTGAGGAGAGGAAACCCGAAAGCATGCAGGTGGGGACAGCCCCCGAGCAGCACGGCCCCATAAGGAACATCCCCTCCTGCCCTGAGCTGAGATCCAGACAGGATGTAGCTTAGCAGGTGGCAGGCATTCCTGTGGTGTCCTGCTGTTGGATCTCGTTGAAAACCCTCCCTCTGGAACTTGCTGGAAGCCAGCTCTCTAGGACACTTGTGGGCGGGGGGTGGGGGGATGTTACTCTGCTGCAGTGCCACCTGAGGGGCGAGGGGGCGCCCCCTGACCCACAGGAGCCCGCTGAGCAAACGTCCCAGACCTAGGAAGCGGCACCCTTCTGTCCCGCCGTGTCTCTGTCTCCTTCACCAACAAAGCTTAGCGTTGTGCTCGCAAACAGAGGGAACACATTTAGGGGACCTGGATCCATTTCAACAGAGGAGGCAAGAAGGGCAGCTTTGCAAGGGCAAGATCATACCACCCAACACTGGCGCAGCCCGCTCCTTAGCCTGGCCTCCGTTCCCTCACCTATAAATAGGAGACAACTCTAGCACCTCCTCAAGAGGTTGCTATGGGAATGGATCATCAGTGTGAATCAGGTGTTTCGAAGTGTGTCTGGCCCAAAGCAGGCACACCAGAGTGTTTCCTGTCACCCAGATGCAGAAATGGAGGCTGGAGTGTCTTCGGGAACCCTTGGGCCCAGGGGGCGTGAGTTGTCCATTCCCATCATCCCTCAGCTTGGCATTGAGAACATGCGCCAAAAAGACCATTGACTCCGTGGATGTTGCCACAGCAAAAATCAGTCCTACAAACAGGATGCTTTGTAAACTTTGGCTTTCAAGCTCTTCTCCCACTTAGAAACAATTTCAACAGCGTGGTTTATGCTTACCCTTAAGGGTTAATCCCAGCTTTCTTGAATTCCAAGATGGTACACTGAATTTCTATTCAGATTTTTCACGCTCTCTTAAATCATTTAAGCCAAATCTATGAGCTTAGTTCAGGCCAGTCTTTCTCAGTGCCTCACCTTTTCTTATTTTTCTTTCCTATCTTCAGAGAGTTTCAAAGCTTTTCCTAACCAATAATTTAAATTCAGGGCCCAACCACTTCTAGACTGTTCTGTGACACTTTCTAAGTGGGTTTATGTCACCTAGCAACCAAATATCTCAGAATTCCTGGATGCGGCCAACTTCCCAAAGTTGCTCATGAAGAGCTTACCCCCTCTGCAAAGCGGATGCCAAGTCTTAAAATCTAAACAGTAAGTAAAAGTCAATTTGGGATCGAATGCCCTTGAATGATGTATTTCTTTTTTTAAGTTTTTTTTTTTTTTTAAGATTTTATTTATTTATTTGACAGAGCAGGAGAGCACAAGCAGGGGAGAGAGGCAGAGGGAGAAGCAGGCTCTCCGCTGAGCAGGGAACCCAACACGGGTCTCCATCCCAGGACCCTGAGATCATGACCTGAGCCGGAGGCAGTCACTTAACCAACTGAGCCACGCAGACACCCCTTGAATGATGTATTTCTGAGGACATTTCATAACTAAGGCCCCCGAGGTGGAGTCTGGGTGAGTTTGTGATGTCTGGCTCGAGCCGGTCTGTGCTCTGGGCAGCGAGCTCAGGACAGGGCTACAAAGGAAAGTCCTGGTTTCTGCTAAACTGAATTTCTTCCCCTATTGTCGTTATTTGTTTTGTAATGCTGATGAGTAAATTTGGATTCCCAGCATTTCCTTTGTGTTTTAATAAGATTATAACAGAAATACAATAGTGTTATAATGATATTTCTCTCAGGAACTGGTGGCCCAGTTGCTGGATTCTCTTCTTAAAATCAGACTTCAGGAAAGACTTTAATGATTTTGAAATTCTAAGTAGAATCTACCTTTGTAATTTCAATAATCAAATTTTTCGTTTGGGAGCTGATTTCTTTACATCTGAGCGTGTTTGGGTCCTGGCATTGGAACGATTCTCCAGTGACACAAGCAGGTAGCAGGAGTTGAAGATTTGCAGCTGACAGCTCATGAGCTCGAACCGAGCAACATTTGAAATAATTTGAGGTGGGCAGCCGGTAACAGGACCAGCCTGTCTCACTGTGGTCTCCATGACTTCATGCTGGAGGAGAAATTCCTATTTTGGTATTTATCCTCTCGCCAGCTGGTAATGGAATAATGGAAAAACAATTGCCTTGGTTTTTTTAGCCAGTACGTATTGCCAACCAAACTTCCTGGAAGCTGTGTGCTCCCTGAGTGAGTCAGCAAATGCTTGCTCACATGAAACGAGGCTCTTTGAAAGAACCATTTGTGAAACACCAGTTGCTGAAGAGTGGTTGAAATGCTATTGCTTAGGAAGTTCTCCCATTTCAACACTCGGCGTACAAACTGCTGGCTATGGACCTGGTCTCTGACTTTTCTCAGATGACCAACGGTCTGAGTAGGAGGCAGGCCAGATGCAGAAGGACGAGATGACGTGACCGGCCAGCAGGAGGCTATGCGACAGTGGGGACCTGGGCCTTCTGGGTTAGGGGAGTAAGAGCGAGGTGCAGGAAGGACTCACGGTGGCTTTGTGTGAGAGCATTGGCATCCACGTTGAAAGCAAAGGAAATGATCTGTGAAGTGATGAAAACGAGTCTATCAGCAGATGCTCGTACGTTATGCCCTTTCACGCGTACTTGGGAGGTGCCCACAAGTGTCCGGGCTGAATGGCAGCCTTGGGGAAGGGGCTGACGCTGAGCTGAACTGGCCCACACCAGGGACCATTTCTCCAGATTTTTCTCCTTCTCTGTCTATCCCGAGCTGCCAGGAAGTCTTCCCCACTCATCGGGAGAGTGGGCTGTCAGAAAACTCTGTGGGATTCCACGGGGGCCCCCCTTTATCCTCGCAGTCGGGCTGCTCCTTCACGCAAATGTTTTCTCCACATGGAACCTAGCAACAACATTGGCAAGTCTCCCCGAGAATCGAGGTTTTTTTTTTTTTTTCAAGTCCGTCAGCTGCCTCAGGCACAGTTCTGATTCTGAGACCCCAAGAGACTGTCTGAGGTAGTTGTCTGGGGTGTGTGTCAGGGAGGAGGCATTGACAAATGTCCAGTTTTCCTCGCGTCTCTAGGAAGCTGCTCACGTCCACATGCTGGATGCTGCTGGTCCCTGCCAGGCTGGTCCCTGCCAGGCGGCAGCCAAACCATGACTTGAAGCCAGGGAGGGAGGGGAGAGCATTTACTTGCCTCTAGGACCTTCAGAAATGTTGGCTTATGCTTATCCAAGCCTACAGAGGAAGAGAACGCAGCTTATGGTCTAAACGGCAGCTGAGAAAAACGATCATGAATTTCTTTCCATCTTCTTTATGAAGCAGCACTAGGAGAAACATAGGAAAAGCGTCCTGTCGATGACGTGCCGAGCGTGCTTTCTTTGTTTGGTGTCTTTACTTTGCTGACCTGCCTGAACTGCTGGAACTGACATCAGGGAAGTAGGGCAAATTACAACTGTCCCCTGTGTTGAGTACATACGATGTGTAATATCCTTTCATCAAAGCAACGAGGCTGCCTGCTTACTTGCCCACTGATGTCAGGGAGAGGGAAATTATAAATCTTTTCGCTGCTGCCGATTTGCAAGGAGGTAAACCCACAGTATTTGTTGTATCCACTGTGGTTCCTTGTGACTGATGTTATGACATGGATACCAGAGGAATTTGCGATGACGATCCACTTAATGGTTATGTGTTGCCAGTTTTGTCCTTAACATTGAAATCTATTGAGTGCATGTACAGAATATTTTGTGCTTGTTTTTGTTGAAAAGTATACAGCGAAGGATGGTTAGGCGGATTTAATTATTATATGCTGACGTAATTATAATTCCAATTCTTGCTCGCTCGTCTGAAACGTTTGTTAAATCAAAATGACAAAATGATTCAGGATAGTTTTCTGGGACTTTGGTAGCCTGTGACGTTTCGCTAGCATAGCGAATACTTTTGCATGAGTGATACTGGGATGTGCGGACATTGGTTATTTTTAGATGTGAAATTGGCTCAGATTAGGGAAATACGATGAAGCCTTTTTTTTCAGATTAGGGTGTTTCGACCTGAATTCTCAGTTGGCAATTGAGTGAGACTCCCCCACTACCCAGCCCCCCGATGCATGAAGTGGTTTCTCATTGATGGGTCAGGAACAGAACAGAGGAGAAACCTGGATAGAAACCTACTGAGCTCGGGACCCAGTTCAAATGTCTCTGAAAGTAATGGCTTAGGGTGTTGTTTTTCTCTTGAGTGCTAACCACATGCCACTCACTTGCTATGTGCTATATATTGAAGGGGCGGAGAAACGTTTCCTCACTCTGTCCTA